TGGTCGCGCGGTCTGCCATCGAGTCGTTCCTGCTTCGCTATGCCGTGGAGCCATGCTGCGCGGTGTCGGATACCTCCCCGACGATCGCATTGAGCCGATGCCCTGGTCGTCTCCCATCGAACTCCGCACGATCAGCTGCGATCCATCGGCGCAGGCATCTCCTCGTTCAGCCGTTTCAGCAAGGGTTCGCGGCGCAGCGTTCGCACTGCTTCGCGGGCGGGGCCCCTGAGCCCAGCGCGGAAATTCAATGGGGGAGTCTCTCTGTTCGGGCTTCCTGGCGCAATCGCGGCAGAGGCCCCATCAGCGCTACTCGCAATCCGCGGCGCGCTCGGGCTCGCCCTCAACTTCGGGGGCGCCTGACCTGCCCAGCTCGAGGGGCATCTCCCCACGGCGCAAGAGAATGAACATCGGGATCGCGGCGTAGAAGGTCAGGTCGTGGAAAGGCATGATGCGGTCCGCGGCCGTCTCAACGGCGGCGCCGCGGCGGGCGCGCTTGCTGCGCGGCCCCGCAGGCGCGGCCGCCGATCTTCTCGCCTCGGCCTCTGCCCCCGCCCTTGCCAGGCTCTCCCGGCGCTCGGCCCGCTGCGTTTCCCCCGCCGCTTCGGCCTGCGACCCTGGCCGCTCGCGAAAAGGATTCTTCCCCTCTGAACAAGATTTTCTTGCCACTTGCCCCTGGCGACGTTTTCCGCGCCGGCAACTCGACGGCGGTCTCCTCCGCGATATTTACCTGCGATGAACCGCGGCTGCGCGCGTCGCAGGGTAACTTCATCACGCCCGCCGTCGAAGCGGAAGTATCGAAAAAAACGGAGGCGCTGGGGGGCCTGAAACGTCGTTCCAAAGGAATCCGGCGCCCCACCCCCCCCTGAGGGCCAGGGGCGGCATCTCTGCCCCGAGTCTATTGTCTTGTCATTGTTCTCATGTCGTCCTCGTTTGTCGTTCTTGCCTATCCTTCCCGTCTGCTGAAACACAATTTCCTGCGCCTCGCGCTCCTGGCCGGCGCCGCCTGACCGCGCCTGAAAAGACACTGCGCCAAAACAATGCATGGGCAGGCTCGCCCGCTCGTTCCGCGCTCGGGGCGGCATTGCCCAGTCCTGGATATAAACCATAAGCCGCTCGCCGTTATTGCTGCGCTGCCCCCTGGGCGCCCTCGAGCACTCGGCCGTTCTCTCGCCAATTCGCGAGCCCCCTGCAGGTCGCCCAAGCTCGCGTCGCGCATCCCCAAACTTAACTTGAGACAACTGCGCTTCTTGAGATGTCTGGATTAACGTTCGCGAATCAAAAGCCGCATCTGCGCGCCGGGCGGGCCGGCGCTGCCTGGCGCCGCCTTCCGCCTGCGTGCGAAGCCGAAAGGTTCGTCGTCAGCCTTGCGCCTGGCGCCCTTGATGTGCGCGAGCACCCTGCCGGCCGCGCGGGCGACGCTTCGTCTGGCGACCTCGCCCCTGCAGCAGTCTCTCTCGGAACTCGAGGCACGGTGGCGCCTGGGCTCGTCGACGGGGGCCGAATGCTCGCATGCATGGCGGCAGCCGCTCTCGCGCTGCCCTCCCCCGCGCGGCGAGGGCCGCGGCATCCCGGATTTCCGCCGAGGTGACTGTGAGTCCGTCGCCTGTGCCCGCAGCCTCTCGCTCCCCCTGGCGGGGCAGCAGGTTCTGCGCGTGCGCCGCTTTCCGCCGGGAGCGGCGCCCCCGGGCGAGCCCCCGCCGCCGGGGCGGCCCCATGTCCCCCCTGGGGCCGCAATTTCCGCGGCCACCGGGCCCGCGCCCATCGGGCGGGCCTCCGGGCCCGCAGGGCCAACAGGGGCGACCCCTGTTCCTGTTCATCAGGGCCGCCCCCGTCTCCAGGGCCGCCAGACCCACCCCCTTCTGTGGGCCGGGGCTGGCGGGCTGAAGCCGGTCCGTGGAGGCCCGCCGCTTCCGAGCGGCGTCTGGCGTCCATGGACTAGGAGCTTCGCGGTCATTCCCAAGTGCCAGATCGATGGGCATCGCCTCAGCGGTTTCCTGCGCGGCAGCGGCTTCCGCCATTTCCTTTCCAGCTGCTGTCTTTCTCGCCCCGCTCTTCCACCGCTCGGGGGCGCGCGCCTCTCCTTCCAGTGTTTCCCCCCTCTCAATCAGATCGGCGCGACGGCGTTTTTCCCTCTCCTTGGCTCTGGCGCTCGCCCCTTCGACCCGGCGCGCCCGAGCTTCAGCGTTGGCGCTGGCGCATGTCGCGCGGGCGCGCTGCGCCGGCGATTCGATTATTTCTTTCTCCGTGGCTGCCTCGACGCTGTGCCTGTCTTTCGGTTTGCATGCGCCCCAGTTGCTCTCCGCGCAGCCTGCGCCATGCCAGCTCTTCTTCGCGTGACCCCCCGACCCTGCTCTCGGCGGACAGCGCCATTTAATCGCGACAACTCGGTCGCCAGTGGAGCTGGAGCTGCGCATCGCGATGTTCTTCGCAGCGGGGGGCCTGGCAGCCGACGCAGCCGGCGCACTCCTGCGCATTGCAGCGGCAGC